TGGAGGTACATGGCATTTGCCCCTTATTGGTGATACTAGTTTTGATTACTTAGGGTGGACCCAGTAAGTCCACATTTAGACTTAGGGATTTCTCTAGACTAGGAACTCCCAGACTATATGCAATATTCTGTGCCTTATAAAATTGGACTCCTATAGGTTTAGCGTTAATTGCTGTTGATAAATACATAAAAGGTGTTTTTTTTGTTTTTTGGTTTTTTTTTTTGAGACGGAGTCTCGCTCTGTCCCCCTGGCTGGAGTGCAGTGGCGCGATCTTGGCTCACTGCAAGCTCCGCCTCCCGGGTTCCTGCCATTCTCCTGCCTCAGCCTCCCAAGTAGCTGGGACTACAGGTGCCCACCACCGCGCCTGGCTAATTTTTTGTATTTTTAGTAGAGACGGGGTTTCACCATGTTGGCCTGGATGGTCTCAATCTCTTGACCTCGTGATCCACCCGCCTTGGCCTCCCAAAGTGCTGGGATTACAGGTGTGAGCCACTGCACGTGGCCATGAAACCCCATTTCTACAACAACAACAAAAAATTAGCCAGGCATGGTGGCGGGTGCCTGTAGTCCCAGCTACTTGGAAGGCTGAGATAGGAGGATGGCTTGAGCCCAGTAGGTGAAAGTTGCAGTGAGCCGAGATCACGACATTCCACTCCAGCCTGGGCAACAGAGCGACACCCTGTCTCAAAAAAACACAAAAAATAGGCCAGGTACGTAGCTTACACCTGTAATCCCAGCACTTTGGGAGGCCGAGGCAGGCGGATCATGAAGTCAAGGGATTGAGAGCATCCTGGCCAACCCCCGTCTCTACTAAAAATACAAAAATTAGCTGGGACTTGTGGCACACACCTGTAATCCCAGCTACTCAGGAGGCTGAGGCAGGAGAATTGCTTGAACCCAGGAAGCAGAGGTTGCAGTGAGCTGAGATCACACCACTGCATTCCAGTCTGGTGACAGAGCAAAGCTCCATCTCAAACAAGAAAAAAAGAAATTATTTACCGAGGCCAGGCATGGTAAAGACTGAATCAGACAATTCGCTCACGCTTGTAATCCCAGCACTTTGGGAGGCCAAGGTGAGTGGATCACTTCAGCTCAGGAGTTCAAAACCAGCCTCGGCAACAAAGTGAGACCTCATCTGTATTAAAATTCAAAAAAACATCAGCTGGGTGTGGTAGCATGTGTCTGTAGCCCCAGCTACTCAGGCCTGGGAGATCAATGCTACAGTGAGCCAAGACTGTGCCACTGTATTTCAGCCTGGGTGACAGAGTGAGACCCTGTCTCAAAAAAAAAAAAAGAAAAAAAAGAAAATATTCACCAAATTTTTTAGGTTAGGATTATGATGTATATAACTTACAATCAAATAAAATTTATCACAAAAAAATTATGAATGTGAATACACATATAGGGGAATAGGAGAAGGAGGAGAGGAACGAGAAACTGCATATGTGAGTGAGGAAAAATGATTAAACAAATGGGATAAAATATTAACAGTAAGTGGGCTAGGCACAGTGGCTCACACCTGTAATCTCAACACTTTGGGAGGCCAAGGTGGGAGGATGGCCGGAGTCCAGGAGGCCAGGAGAGGCAACATAGTGAGACTTCATCTCTAGAAAAAAATTATTTAAATTAGCTAGGTGTGGAGGCACATGCCTGTGGTCCCAGCTATTCAGGAGGCTGAGGCAAGAGGATCGCCTGAGCCCAGGAAGTTGAGGCTGCAGTGAGCTATGTTTGCACCACTGCACTCCAGCCTGCTGAATCTGGGTAAAGGATATGGAGGTGTTTGTCCTGCTTTGAATTTCATAACTTTCTGAAAGTTTGGAATAATTTCCAAGTAAGTTTTTAAAATGTTTTTTTCCTGCCATGTCAACATTAAGCATAACATATTTTCACAATAAATAAATATAGTAGTGAAACATAAAATCTAGGGACATGCTACACTTCAACTAAGACTCCCAGATGTCACTGATACTAAATGTAAAGGCCAGCATGCTCATCAATATGTATTACATGACAAAGGTGTATGTATGGAGAACAGAGCCCACTTTGCCTGGCAGGAATCTAACAGAAGCTAAAAGGGTTACATGGCGTTAGTTCCTAAGTGTTCTCGGCACTACTACTACTACATGGCAGGACTCTCCCCATAGGCCCCTCTTCCAAATCCCAGGAATCAGCCAATCAGTCATTACGGATTCCTGCTCTTGTTTTATTTTACACTTGTCTGGGCTGATGGGCATGTTTGATTTCGTAGACCTTCAAGCACCATTCCTAGCATGTAAAAGTACTCAATAAATATTTAATAAATGAAAACGCCAAACTCCCATTTACTCAAGGCTGACGCTATAATGGCTGTAGATTCTTGATTATAAAATACAGCTCTGATTCTGAAGGAAATCAGAGACCAAGGTAAAAAAGTAAATACTTTAAAGAAGTTAGAAATCTGCTGAATGAAGTTTGAACTCTGGAAACTGAAGCCAAATAGAATAAAGAACTTGGTTACAAACATAAATTCAAACTGCAGCTAAAATTCATACACAGAGAAATGGGGAACCCATATAGAATGGATAAGAAATTATAAATACTCAACTATCTTGTACCCTAAAAATAACAATGAAACAGTGCAACAGAAAAGTGCTCTCTGGATAACACATTGTCATTGTTCCATCTATTTAATCTCAAGAACCCAACACTTCAAATACCCAATATGCCCCATATGCTCCAGCAGGATGGGGAAGGATAGAGAACATGCAACAAGGACAACTGCACTGAATAAGACCTGCATCTTTCAGATATTCACATTTAGCATCAACACTGGTCACATCAGAAAGCCAGCCAACATTAACCATCAAAATTCAAGCACCTATTAAAATCGGACAATTTACCAACCCTAAATTGGCACACATGTAAACATTTTGTAATTCAGATGTATCTTCTGGTTTTTTAAGAGAAGCCAAGGAAAGATAAATTTGCATCAAAGGACTCTCTAATCTTCCACATATTTCCTGACAAAGGCTAGAACCTTTTATGCAAGTCTTAACATAAACCTCCACCTCCACTATACTCCGGTTTACATGTAAAATAATAAATAGAAAGGGTTTCTGGATTTTAGGATAACTTTTTAGTGAGTCACCTAGGTTGAGCTTCTTGAAGTGGGATGAACAGAGGTAAAGAACTAATCTAATACTCACAGCTTCCCATCCACTTTTTCTTCTCAATCCCTAGTTGTGGGGGTCTGGCTTTCCATCTTTACTGGGGCTCTGTGAAGTCAATCTGGGGCCCAGAAACTGGGCCTGCCTCTGCTGGTGCGCAGACCTGAGAAGAGGTGTACCACTGTCAGGTCTGTGGGTGGCTCCTGTTACAGAAACCCTCTTTTGGCAATCATTGCATTACAACAGGGACACAGATCTGAGATGAAAGGTACCTAATTCCCTTCCTCCTCTCATAGTTTAGAACATTTCTAAGCCATGTGTGGCTGCTTATGAGTGAGGGATCCATACAGCTGCTTTATTATAAAACCATTTACGACATACATTTAGCTATACAAATAATACTCTAGCCCATAGGTTTCCATTCTCTAACACCTAAAACTCAACAACGGATAGGTAATTCTATCAAACTAGACAAGGCAAGTTTTAGATTTGTATCTGGACAACACTGAGAGTAAGTCTCCCATCACAAAAGATTAACACGTGTTCTACAGCCCAGAACCTGGATTAAAACACTGGTATAAGGAGCTGCTGTTAGGCAGAGAGAACAGAAAATTTTACTTGCTATTGCATCAAAATGTGCAGGATTTAAATTCTGCAGGCAAATATGGAAATGTGGAAAATACAAGTTATTATATAGAGACTAATTCTTCCTTTTTCCTTTAATAAACGAATACACAAAAGACCTTTGTAAATTATTAGTGGGTGATTTTAAATTTCTGTGCCAAAACTATAACAGCTCTGAATACATAAGCCTAAGAATATTTTCAGAATAGATT